GGCGGCCTGATCCTCCTTTGCTCTTGTGTTGCTGTGCCAAGGCCTCCAGCTTTAAGAAGCCCTCGCTAGGAGCCGCGTCCCAGAGGAAGAAAGCGAGTCCCAAGCTGGAGCTCACCGAGGAGCAGAAGCAGGAGATCCGGGAGGCTTTCGACCTGTTTGACACAGACGGCACCGGGAACATAGATGTTAAGGAGCTAAAGGTAAGAACTTTCCTGGTGCTAAAAGCACAGTTCTGCTGAGGTTATAAAGTAATAGGGGCATAAGTGCCTAAGTGACCTTAAACAGGAAAGGAGAAATTCCTCGTGCCGCGCCCGCCCCCCGCCGACCCACCGCCCACATACGTTGATAGTTCTGTATTTTCTCTACTGTCTCCTTCTCTGTTAGTAAAACATCAACAAGAGTTTGTGAATATTAAAAAGGCGGGTGTTTTTTTCCCCTCTTATGTGTTATTGAGGATTGCATGCTTCGCAAACTAGGTTATCCAAGCTATGGAACACACCAATGCTACTCATTTTCATGCTTTTATTTATTGCAAAACATTTTTGGTCCTTTCCCACCCCTGTCCTTCGGGAAGAATAGTAATCAATAAATAAATACTTATTTTGCTTTCAGCATTTGCCCTTCCTATTTGCCGGCTGGGTGTCCATATTACTTAAGACCTTAGGGAGGAGACCTGATTTCAAACTTGCCGCTTGTCCCTTTATCAAAGGAGGAAAAAATAAAGCGTGTAGGTGTGCATGCGTGTGTCTGCAAGTGACGGCAGCCTTGGATGTGCTGCTTATAGGAGTGTTGTAGAAAGGCACGCAAAGTGCTTGAATTCTGTTTTCCCAACATTCATTGAAAAAGATTTTTGTCACTAGAATGAAAAATTAACTGATTTAAGTTCCCTGAGGTTTACCAGCTTAAGGCCTCCCATGTTTGTGCCATCAGATCAGGTTGGTAGAGTTCGGTAGAGTTGCAGTTATGATGGAAACGTCTTTCATGCAGTCACTTGTCTTGAAGTTATTTTGTTGAGACATTTCTGGGTCTTCCATTTAGCCATCTTGCTTACAACAGGGCCTGAAATAAGCTTTTTTTTTTTTTAAATTATTATTCAGTGTCTTGTTTCTCATTGCAAAGGGAATACTAGTAGCAATTCCCCTGACAGGAATGGAATAACATTAAATTTTCCAGTAGCCTTGGAAATTGCTATCCACAGCACTGTGTGACAGTTTGGGATTTTTCCTTCAAAATACTAATTGAAGTGGGACTCTTATGCCCATCACAAGAATTTAAAAAAAGTATATACCAAAATAGGTATGGTAAGACTTCATAAAAAAAGTCCAAATTTTCTCAGAGGAAATATTTCTCCCAAGACTCTCTTATATAGCCTTACCCTCCAAGTTCTTGCCAGTTCTGAGCTGGGGCTGGTGGACATGGTGGTGGTAAGGATGTGTTTAGGAAATTTCTGAATTAACTGAAGGACAACTCCAGAATATGAATGGTTGCATTCCTGTTTTCTGCATCTTGATGTGCCCCTGTGTGTTGAGAAGCATTGCTCCAAGTCTGCCCCTTACTTTGCTGTTTTCCTTGAGACACAGAATGCGTGTTTTAACATGATGTGCGAACATAAAGTTCAACTTTTTTTACCCCCCGTGGTTTTTTTTATGGTTTTGTATGATTTATAACTTTTTTCTTTGTCCTTACAGGTGGCCATGAGAGCACTAGGTTTTGAACCTAAAAAAGAAGAGATCAAGAAAATGATATCAGATATCGATAAGGAAGGAACAGGAAAATTTGTATGATTAACTTTTTTCTTTGTCCTTACAGGTGGCCATGAGAGCACTAGGTTTTGAACCTAAAAAAGAAGAGATCAAGAAAATGATATCAGATATCGATAAGGAAGGAACAGGAAAAATCAGCTTCAATGACTTCTTGGTAGTGATGACACAGAAAATGGTATGTAAATTTTAAAAGTCAAAGTGAAAGCAATTTTGAAAATGGCTGAGTACCTTTCATCTCCTTTTGGTTTTAGTGGAAGATGAAAGCACTACTTTAATCTTAACAACAAAATATACAAAAGTTAGGGTAGTCCCTGTCTTGCAATTCTATCTCATTTTTCAAGGTAAGGTTGAAATAATTATGTCATTAACAAGTTTCTGTAGCAGTCAGTTTTGTGTGTGTGAGAAAAGGGAAAAACTGAAATCAAGATTTTTATCACAGATTAAAACCAGCTCTGGCCTGCAGAAAGCTGTCGGGAGTATTGACACGTGACTTGTGAAGCAATGCACTGTATTTTCTTTTCTGCAGTTTTAAGATATTTACAGATGAAATCTCTGGGTTTAAAAATCTTAAAACATGCTGAGTAAAACCAGATATTTAACCATGGAAGATCCCGATACTGAAATCCCAAAGACAACTGGCTAGCTATGAAAGAAAAAAACCTCCCCGAAACCCTGAGGTTCAGGAAGCATCGACGTGTCTCTGTCTACCTTCAGTTTTTGCACATATACTTCTTTAAATTTGCTCTTAAGAGAGGTTTCTCAGTCTTTCTAATGCTTGTCTTTTATAACTTTATTTTGAGTGTTACCTGCAACATAACCGCTATTTTTTTTTTCTTAAACTTACGCTTACTTCTTTAAGGCTGAAAAAGATTCCAAAGAGGAGATTCTCAAAGCTTTCAAACTCTTTGATGACGATGAAACTGGCAAAATCTCTTTCAAAAACCTCAAACGTGTCGCCAAAGAACTGGGGGAAAACCTCACAGATGAAGAGCTGCAGGTTTGTACCTGGTATATGAAACCGTATCATACACAAACGCCCACTGTCTGCCTTTGTGTGTAGTGAACATAGAAAGGTCCAGATTACACTTGTGCCCGTTGAGTAGGAAGGCAGTCACAGAATGTTCGTTACTTGGTTTCGTATTTACATTCGTGTAAAACCTATGTAAATAGTCACAGCCTAATTCTGCTTCTGTCTGGAGAGCTGAGCCGTCTCCCTGACTGGTCTGCTAAGCACTAGAGCTAGCAGCGAGAGTAAGGAATGGGAATCTCTCTCTCAGTGGGGGAAGGAAGCCCTCTCAGGGTCAGCTTCTAGGTAAAGGCAGCGGTCTCTCAGTTTTAGGTGCTGTCCCCTAGTGTCCCGTGGGATCTTTACGCTTGAACTGTTAGGAAAATCTGCCCCCTCTCTCCCAGCAGAAATGGAAGAGCTTCTGTCAATTTGTGATTGGGAAATGGATTCTGAGGTCAAAGATGGGTTAAGCATATGTGGCTGTCGAAATTGCGCCAGTAGAATTGCAGTTTTATGGAGTTACGGTGAAGTAAAAGGAAGAACTCTGCTCCAAGCACTTTGTTTCTTCCAGGACAGTTCCTATAATACAACATTTTCTGTGCAGATTTTTGTATAAATATATGTAAAAATATACTAGTGTCTGGTTTAGTAAATATTTTGTAGCATAGTAGGTCTGACGTTGAGCTAACACTGTCCCCTCCAATACAACTTACTAAAAAGTGGTTCTAATTCTGAATTAATCTAATAATTCTAACCCTAGTCTAATCTGCATCTAATTTCTGAATACAAATATCTTTCAGGAAATGATCGATGAAGCAGACAGAGATGGGGATGGGGAAGTGAATGAGCAAGAATTCTTGCGGATCATGAAGAAGACCAGCCTGTACTGAAACAGAATTTTATTTATTTTTGCACATCTGTATATACGTTTGGTAGGTGCCTCACTTTTTTTACAGTCTTTTTCTTTTGAGACAGCAGAAAATATAGGTCAACTTTTTTTTTTTTTTAAGTGGATGATTTTAAACTTGTGTTTGGGAACAGTTACCAACTGCTAACCTGTTTACATGTAGCAACGTGGTTGCTTGTTTGTGCTCATAAGATGTTTACACTCTTTGTTTTTGATACACAAATCACATTTTTCAGTGACAGAATTCCGATCCTTCTCTGACTAAAAACCACGTGTCAAATGATTATGGTTTGGTAAAGAGAGGACTCAAAACCAGATAGTGTAAATCTCTATTTCCCAGCAGTTGAAGTTTTTGGTTTAATGTCTTGGTTTGGGCCCAGCTATGGTGAACTCTTTATATGACATATTTGGAGGGATCAGCTTTTTATACTCTGTCTTGTGGTGATTATCCCCTCCCCTTTTTTTTAGTATGTTCTTTAAACTGAAAAAAAAGTAAGTAAATAGACTGCTGCAACTTAACTTACTGCTATTGAGTTCACACACTGAAAGAAATCTCTTTGCAAAAGAAGAGGAAAGTTACCAGTGCTGCTGTTGAAAGCTCTGTATGTTTGCAGGAATATTCAGTGGCTGCAAATAAAAGACTTATTTAAAGTAAGTGTCTTATTTTAAGCCATCAGAGTTGTGGAAAGAAGTGTACAAAAATACAAACAAATCCGCTGGTACAGGATGCCAACTGATCTGCTGACAAATAACGAAACACTTCTTCCAGGTACTTGAAGAGTTTCCACTTTTAAGTTTTAACTGTTAAGTCTTCAAAAGGGCCCTGTTGTTAATGTTTCATCTTTGGGGTTGATTTTCCTGCTCCACTAGTGGAAGCAGTTTTCTGCATCCCAGCAAACAGTGTTGTTAGTAGCTTTGTGTCTGTGTGGGTTGGATCTAAACTTAGAGATTAATTCAAATTCTTCAGCCAGTCCCTGGAATTTTCCCTATTGTATTTACATCCTGTAGCTTTTCAGCCTATCTGATAAGTTAGTCAAAACACTTAATCCCAGAAAATCCTGTATAACTCTCAAAAGCTAGTGCTTATGGCAGAAACTTCTGTACCTTTCCTGAACTCCTGCATTGTGCAAAAGACAAGAGTTGAAGGGCTTGGGAACGATTACTTTCTGTAAGGTAATGAACAGCTTAAGCTGTGGATTCCCCTTCGGAAGTAAGAGTATGGGAGAAAACCGTGCAGCTCTGAGGCCTGGTCTCCCATGGATTTGTGCTCTGTCCTCATTAAATGCTAATTCAGACTGAACGTTACTCTGTGGTTGGGATACTCACCACAGGTCTCTACAGGGGGTTGTCGAAGGACCAAGGGAACGGTGGACTTTTTGTGCTAGCAAACATTTCTTTCCTCTTCCTGGCAGCTGCTGTCCCCAAACTGGCTGGTCCTTTATGTCTTGGAGGCTTTCACACCTTTGCAAAAGGTTACGGAAGGCGGCCAACGGGGTGAAAATGATTGGTAGGAGAATCAGTGGAAAAAAGTAACGCAGAAGAGAGTGACTCGATAAGCTACGTTTTCATTAGAAACCTGGGTAGAATTGCTGTATTATGCTACTCTGGGCTGTTCTGTCACTGCCAGATGTGCTTGAACCCCTCTTTGCAGCACCACTGCACTCTGGCCACCAGTGTAGTCACGAAGGATCTTGCCATGTTGGTGAGAGTGCAAAAATACGCCGGTGTTTCGAAAAGGATGTAAAAAGCCTGAAGAGTTTGCTGAGAAGACCCTCAGAAAATAGTTGCTGGCTCCGAAAACGTCTTTCTTACACTGACAGAATTAAACAGCTCAGTCTGTAATGATTATACGATACTACCTGTTTAACAAGAACCTATATAAGAAGAACATACCAGCTACCATCTAAAAAGCTCTTAACCTAATGGAGACAAACCTGTCAGCATCCAGGAGCTGGAAGTAAGCTCTTCAACTATAAGAGAGAAATAAAAGCATGGCTTATCTTAAATGACGTTTGTTAACTGTGAGAATGAGCTATCAAATACTACGGCAGCGTCTTCAGGTCAAGACTGAATCCCCTCAGTAGGCTTGCTTCAGCCCAGTGTAAGTTGCTGCGCTCTCTACAGCTCCTGCAGAGTGGTCGGATTACAAATGGTTCCCTCTGGCCTTAAAAACCCATGCCTGGCCTGTTACCTGAACAACTGCACCGGACACGGGGTTATTTTTAGTGCCTTCTGCTTGCCAGACTCTGCTATCGCCCAGCTGGTCCGCAGCTTGCCATTCAGGTTTCAGCTAGACGGGTATCTTGTCTGTCCCCGTCGCAATGAAGAATTGTTGCTTCCGGGTTGTTTCTAGGAATTTTCCTAGAGACTGGAAGGGACTGGAAATTGCACCGCTTTCTCCGGGATGCCTAGATCTCGCCCTGGACTCTTTCTGCCTAGGAGCAGTATGGGAGGCTGCCTCCAAAACACTCCATGCTATCATAGCAGGTCTTCTGTTAATACAAGGGAAGAATTTAACTTCTCCCCGTTAGACCTGGATGCTAATATTGGTTTGACTCTGCTTTCACCCATGTCGTATTCATGCCCAAGTCTGGGTTCTGACAAATCCTAGCAAAACAAGTGGGGTTCGTTCCTGGTGACTTCTTCCTGTACTGTTTTCCCCACTCCTTGGCCAACCAGTAGCACTAAGAGCATCTCCTAATCCAGAGTAAAAGGCAAAAATGAAAGCAGAATTCAGCCCATGTAAGTAGTGACAGGTTTTATTCAGTAGCAGAACCGTGTTCCTTCCTTTTGCCACTAATTCCTCTGTTCTGTGAGGTATGTGGGGAGCTTTGAAGTACTGGCAAAGATGGATGTGTAAGGAATCTCAGAAGGGGACCAATTCCTGTTGACAGATGATATGCACGTGTCAGGTCAGCCCAATCATGGCTGACGTGACCTGGGCAACTCCTGGGCCACTCAGAACCAAAGACAGCGGCTGTATTTGAGCCCCGTGGAAACCTGGCTTCTGCCTGCCAGCTCGATGCGTGCCCACACTCCAGTTACTGCCAGTTGGCTGTCAGTAAGTGGTGTGTCCTCGGCAGAACACAATGCTTCCATTGCTCCGGGGTTCTCCCTCCTCAGCAGCCACCGGTGGTCCGGTGCCAGGGGGGAGAACTCCGTTTGAGTAGCAGTTTGCCTGTTGACATGTGGGTGTAAAAGGGGAAGAACGTTATCCGAGGCTCAGTGCCTGCACTCCAGAGGAGATGGATTCTGTGGCTTTGTGGCATTCAGGCAAGTCTGACCACTTCTCTGACCATGTTTCCGATGCCATCGTAGATCTCATGAATGGGGGCATTGCACATGAAGGCGCTGGTGGTCACCAGCTTGTTCTTCACATCCACGTGAATTTCAGTGACGTGTTTGTTCACATGCTTGCAACCAAGCTCCTTCATGGTCTCAGCAGTCTTTGCATAAGGCCATCTACAAGAAGAAAAGAGAATAAACCCTGTGTGGGGAAGCCGTCGCTACACAGAGCAATTTGATGAAGGCCTAGAGTGAGAAGTCCGTTGACTACAGAGAGATGGATGGTCCCTACAGAAAGCCTGCTCAATAGGATCCAAATCTTTTCCTGTCAGAGGAGTTTCTCCGGGACTTAGAACCAGGAAAACCTCCAGATTGCAGTGAGTTAAAAATCTGAAGTAAAGCCAAAATAAGACCATGATGTGCCACTATAGATGTTCCAGTACTTAACTCTGCCCACTCCAGTCTTTGTGTTTAGGTTTGGGGTTTTTTTTCACCAGCTTCCTACAAGCGACATTGCTTCCTAGCCCTTCCTAGCAAGAGCCATCATAGTTCCTTCCCTGCCATTGGGAGAATTCAGTCACAGCTTTCCCATATGAGTAAGGACAGTTTAACTCCCTCCTGCTCTAAACGCTACCCAGTCTTGTGCAACCGTCCTGTTCCTACCTAGGGTCTGCTTAACTTCATGAGTCAGTGGTCTGGTGTCTTTCCTACCCTGGGACCAAGAGGTGCATGAGACAGGGTGCTACCTACATTGGGGAGGCAAATAAAAGACTGTATTTAAAATAGTGTCTTATTTTAAGCTATCAGAGTTGTGGAAAGAAGTGTACAAAAATACAAACAAATCCGCTGGTACAGGATGCCAACGGATCTGCTGACAAATAACGAAACACTTCTTCCAGGTACTTGAAGAGTTTCAACTTTTAAGCTTTAACTGTTAAGTCTTCAAAAGGGCCCTAGTCGCTAAATGCTTCACTCTGGAGGCAGCAGCTACAGCAGAGCCTGTCTTTGAAGTGGCGTCCACCTGAGGTAAGAGCGTAACTGAAGGATGGCTTTTGCCTTGTGTTGGAAGGAAACAAGCTCCCATGCCCTTTGCTACTTCTCTTCGTTCCACTAATCCCTCTGGTATCCTCCCTCTCTGCTCTCAGGCAAGGAAAGGACAGATTCCTCCTTTCCAGAAACCTGAACATCTTCCTGACTCAAAATCTAATTTATTCCTTTGCGATTCTTGCAGTCTTTTGTGCCCCCGTATGGTAAAGTACCCCCATTACAGAAAACTGTAAAAAGTAAAATCAGATTTCTAATTTTAACGTGAGACGTACGTTGTAAGTTACAAGGGGTACATCAAAACCTCTGATTATTTAATTTATCAGCCAAGGTTAATTTAATAAATGCATGATGTGGGTCATTCGTTCTGAGAAATAACATTCAACTCATCACGAGACTTCAGATATCCGGGCAGGATAGTTGAGACGGGGCGCTACGTACATTGGGGAGGCATTGCTGATTCTGTGATGTTCATGGTGTCATTTCATATCAGCACTCCAAGGTTACTTACTTCTCACACTCTGTGTCATGACCCACAGTCAGCTCGCAACCTGGGAAGATTTTGGCTGCCAGCACTGGGGAAATGCAGCACAGGCCAATGGGCTTTTTGGCAGCGTGGAATGCCTTCAGGACGTCCTCCACCTCTTTGGAGATGATGCAGTTCTTGCCTTGGGTGGCCCAAGTACTCAGGTTTTTAGCCACTCCAAAGCCACCTGAGAAAAGAGAAACAGATTAGACCGGAAGATTAGTACTCCAGGGCAGGATTTTTTCAGGTATTACTCACTAGAATGCTAAAATGGATTTGATGGATGACAGCATTTGTCCAATGTTGATAAAAGAATTGAAACCAGACAAGCTGAACCTTTGTGAGCTGGCTGCCAGGAGATGAGACATCAAAGCACCTTTCCTGCTTCCATACAGAACTGAAGCGGAGAGGTATTGGGTGTGTTGAGTACTGTGTTTCACCCATGAGCTCTTTTCTGAATTGTGGTGGAGCACGCTGACAAGTTTTTACTTGCCTCTTAATCCTTGCTCCAGGCCTAATCCATCCCCACTGAAATCACATGGTCATACTTTCACTAAAGATGAATTGCCAGACTGACCAAGCTTTCCGCTTTTGAGTCGCCCCCTCTCTGTCCCAGCCTCTTCTCCTGATGAGGAGGTAGGCATGTTGGTGAGGGAGGGGATAGTTGTACATCCAGTAAAAAAAAAGCTCAGTAGATGGTACAAAGGATAATTCAATTGGCAGTTATCTGCCCTCTCCTCTTGGGATAAGCTTCTGCATTGCCATGTTCTCTTTTAATACAAGTCCAAGCTCGCATGCCAGCACCAGCACAGATGGAACTGTTCTCCAGTCCCTGCTTCCAGCCTGTCTTCTTCCCCGGTGGCTCTGCCCAGTTCCTCTCCAGCCCGTGACTCCCATGTCATCCAAGGCTTATGGCTTATCTAAGCTGTTCCCAAGACTTCGGGCAGGCAGACCCCGTATGCCGTCCTACCTGGTATGATTAGGGCATCCAGCCCCTTGACATCCAGCTTAGCTAGATCCTTGATGTTGCCTCTGGCTATTCTGGCACTTTCAACTAGCACGTTGCGCTTCTCCTGAGTTGGCTGTCCTTTCACGTGGTCCACCACATGCATCTGGTCAACATCAGGAGCATAAACCTCTGCCTGGGGAGGAGGGGGAAAGGTCTATTATCCTTCAGTCATGTATCCTAAGCATCTTAAAGACCATAGGTAGTGAATGAAAATGCTTGAGTTACTTTGTTAGGAAAGAACTTTGCTGATGAATACAGCGACTCTCAGGCTCACCTGTATCTGATACTGGCATCAGGAAGGCTATTGTCATAGGGAGGAGAAAGAAAGAAAGAAAGAAAGGTCTTTTATAGCTTCTGCACAGGAACATTTACCCTGACCTTAAAGGAGTGAGGGTGTTGTTAGGTGAAAGCAAAGAAGCTAGCCCACGCTGCTTGTTTTGGGGCCTGAAGTGCTGGAGAGGGAGCAGTGACTCCTTACCTCCCTAGGAAACGAGGTGTTCCAAGAGCCATTGGTGAAGCCATTTCTTAGAGGTTTCCATCTGCATCCCAAGCAATCCCCTTCCCTGGGGCAGCCCCAGCCCTGCCCCAGCTGCCCCCACAAAGCCAGTCATCCCCTATGGGTGCTGACTACCCAGCAAGCTGCTGCCAAACCACATGCCTCCCTCAAAGACAGGGCTTTGAGTTTCTTCTCCCCAGCCACTGTTTTCCCAAAGCCAGAGTATTTCTTTTTCTGGAAAATGCCTTCAGAACTGTTTCAAGCTCACATGCAGTAATTAAGAGTGGAGGACGACAGACAGATGGGCGATAGATTTTGAGACTGTACAAGCTTTGCAATTCTGGGCCCCACAATTTAAGAAGGATGTGAAGGTACTCGAAGGCGTCCAGAGGAGGGCAACAAAGCTGGCGAAGGGCTGGAAGGCATGTCCTCTGAGGAGCGGCTGGGGACTCTGGGTTTGTCTAGTTTGGAGAGAAGGAGGCTGAGGGGCAACCTCATTGTTCTCTACAGCTTCCTGAGGAGGGGACGTGGAGAGGGAGGTGCTGATCTCTTCTCCCTGGGATCCAGGGGTGGGACGCCTGGGAAGGGGTCAAAGCTGCACCAGGGGAGGTTTAGACTGGACATGAGGAAGCATTTCTTTACCAAGAGGGTGGTCAAACCCTGGAACAGGCTTCCTAGAGAGGTGGTCGATGCCCCGAGCCTGTCAGCGTTTAAGAGGCATTTGGACAATGCCCTTAATAACATGCTTTAACTCGGTCAGCCCTGAATTGGTCAGGCAGCTGGAGTAGATGATCGTTGTAGGTCCCTTCCAACTGAACTAGTCTATGCTGTGCTGTTCTTTGTTTCCTCAGGCAAGCATGACCAAAAAATAAACGGCGGGGGTTGAAATAACGCCTGAGTTTCTTCCACTAGAGGTCCCTGCCGATCAAGGGATGAGTGCAGGACCGTGCTCCCATCCTGCCAATCCAGGGTACGGCAGGAGGGAAGCGACCACAGCAGCAGCAGGAGAGAAGAGGCAAAATTATAGACAGTGGGAGAAAAGGTTTGGACAAGTCTCAGCTTTAAGCCAAACAGAGAATACAGACTTTGGAGGCTTTGGAATTGGGTGGGCTGGCTCTGCAGCACATGTACGTCACCACTGTGCCTTTGTATTTAATAGAGCAATTCCAATTCCCAGGAGAACACCTCTGACCCAGATTTTTGGGTGGCTCAGAGCTGAGGGTAATGTCTCCCTCCTCTTCCAGCCTCGCGGAGTGGCTATCGTGACTAATGGCACATTAGAGCGGCTGCTTGAGGGTCGCCTTTTTTACCCCTATTCAAGTTCAACTCTCAAGAACTTGTCTATTTCCAGTTCTAATCTTCGGGGGTTTAAAAAGATGAACTTCAAACAGCCAAAACCAATAGTAGTCTTTTAAACAGAAATACCAAAGCAGAAAAGAGGAAGTGCAAGCCAAAAAGAATAGAGAATGCGTTTGGGAAAGTTTGTTTCAGAATTTGGATACACTCAACACAGAGCACCAAGGCAATCCTCTCGCGCAGCAAAGCTGTAAGAGCGAAGCAGAGACCAGGGAGTTCTCCACGCTCGCTGTAGCAGCTCCTACGCTGTGCCGTTTGCTTTGACTCCAGTCACTTATGCTTTGCAATTACCCCAGCAGCAATGGGGAGCTTGTGATTTGTCCGGCAAGCTGCAAAGCTCCTTAGAGACGAGTATCTTCTGCAAGAGAGAGAGCTTGAAAAGCAAAGCCGGGCAAAAGGAGCCAGAGATGGGGCAGGAGCCTGCCAGGGTGCCTCTTACCTGTGCCCCCTCCCTGCTGAGATGCACCAGCACAGCAGAAGACTCATGGATCTCACTCCCGTCGTACACCCCACAGCCAGCCAGCACGACAGCCACTCTCTTTCCCATGGTCACAACCAGAGCGGGAGGATTCCCTGGAGAGCCCCAAATTGCTGTGCGTCTCTGTTCACTGCCTGGAGCCTTTTATAGTGCGATCCCTCCCCCAGGAGCAGGTGGGGCCAGGAGGGTTGGGCTGAATTTCTTACTGGCAGGAAGGTTTTATTTCCAATGCCACAGGCAGGGCATGTAAATATTATTTGTTTCCTCAATTGACTGCTCCCTTGCAGATCTTCTTCTCAGCACGTTGTCTCCAAAGCACCCCCAGCTGATGTGACCTGTTCAACAGAGCAGCTGTGTTTTTCCTTCTCAGCTGTCGATTTTCCATTCTATTTCAGGCTAAAGTACCAAAGTCTTTGCCCATAAGATGGTATCAAAGGGAGCCTGCCCAGAGCAAGTATTCTAGCCAGTGCATTCCCCTCTGTGCCCCATTTTTTAAAACCCTACGCTGCATAGGCAACCTCAGTCTTTTAACCCCAAGATTTCCTTTTCTGACCTTAAATGCTCTTAAGCTCATATCCCATCTCTCAAGAGCAGAGGTTTTGCACCCAGTTGTAGTTGTTTCCTGGCCTTTGGGTCCTGAGGTTATTAATTTATAACTTGATTCTTCATCAACAGCACCATCTCTCCATTTGACAGGAAAGTGGTACCGGGAATTGCAGAGCCCTGACCTCTGTAGGGGCACGTGGCAGCAAGATTCACAGCATGTGATGGGGAAAATCCCTTGCTCGTGCAGAGACTTGTTCTTCCATGTCCTTGATATGCTCACTCCTGAGATGATTATGTACCTCTCTATCTCGACTTTACACTGTTGAAGTAACTGGCCTGTTCAGGCTGTCTTGCCATTCTTCGGAGAACAAAAAACTTCATGCAACATGGCTGAAGAATGTTTTTCAGGGGTTATTTATAAGAAATTTTCCTTGGGTCTCTGTCATATTTGAAAAAGACATGAAGTACATCCTGTGTATAAAATAGTGTTTTGGCAAGTTTGTTAATCATAGCAGGCATGAGGAAGATAATAATTGCTAATGCATGTGACTTCATCTATTGCAGGCATACTTAAAATTAGTGATATCAGGCATCACATACTCCTAGCTGCTACCTATACCAGCAGGAATAAAAAGCACGTGAGAAAGGACTTGCAGTCCAGCTGATCTAACACAGGCTTTTCCTTTCCGTTACTTTTATTACCCAGAACAGGAATTAAACTGACGCATATGTGTGGAAAACACCCAAAGACTTCTTACTGCTGTTTGTTTTGGTATCTAATGTATTCTAACTGTGGTTTAGAAATGTATTATTTCCTCTTGCATGAAAAAACAGCTGAATCATGCTGCAACTTGAACAGATAGTTTCTTCCTCCTTCAGCTGGTTAGAGAGCAGTCCCGTTAATGATGGAACAAAGATAGCCAGAGGCTGATGATTTAAACAAACTTACTGCTTGCTGCAAACCACATCATTTAGCTCTGCCTGTTGCAAAGTGACTGAGCTGGTTCCCCTTACTGATGTAATTGGTTAGGTGTAACTGGACAAACCAGGCTTGTTCCAGTGCATCCTTCCTCCTGTAATAAGGTCTATCTCAATAGACATATTGAACCTAAAGGTCTAACTGCAATAAACGTATTCTTGATAAATAATACTTTTCAGCTGAGTATTCCGTGTGGGAATGTCTGCACACATTTATTACAGTAGACACATTGGGCTTTAATATTAACACCTTTCTTTAATCTGCATTAATATTCTAGTGAAGATGAGTGTGAAGGAACCCTGTTGCCTCAAAGCTCTTCTTGAAGGGTGAACACAGTTAAAGATAACTGTCCTCCAAAGCACTGAAGAAACCAGGAAAGTTTGGGAGCCATTATAGGGATCCAGCTGCGCAATGGAAGCATGCCATCATGCTCCAACTGGCTCAGAGAACAGGAGGAGCAGGGTCCTTTGACATTATCTGCGGACCCTGACAGTCTGGGGTTGTTCTGGATGCTGCTACAGATCTAATGCCTCTTGGACGGATGATCCTGGAGGCCTGTCTTTGAGCCCCAGCCTGTGCAGCTCTAAGTCCCATTTCCAACAGCTTTTCTGTCCTCCAGCCCTGACTGTGGACCATGACTTATAGAGGAACACAGAACAGGATCTGCCAAGAGGAACATCACAGCTTGCTGCTGTAGGGCCTCTACAGAGTCATCCTTGACCAGCCCAGTAATATTAGTGTGACGCTCTTTACACTGTTCTGCATCTTTTATCTTGTCAAGAGGCTGAGAGTGGAATTTGCTTTAACTGGGGCTATGGGAACAGGAGCTGAGTCCTTCACGGAAATAGGCCCTACACCGGTCCATTGCACACGAACAAAACAATGGAGGAATGTACACGAGTGCAGGCAAGTGTTGCCCCTGTTTTCCTTCAAAGCTCTGTTAGCTCTCACAGAACACTTCTCCGCCTAATTCCCGCTTGACGCATGACCCAACATGATCCCGAGGCCAGCGTCCACTGCTTTCTGCAGCCTCTCCTCCATTGGTAAAGACCTTTATGCCCTGATCATACATTCTCCATGGGAAGCCGTAGGAAGCTGTGAATAGGTCCTTCGTGTCGCCTTTGGGATACAGCAGCGACCATGGCAATGACTGATACTCACTCACTGCCTGCACGGTTCTCCTGGAAAGCCAGCAAGGCTCCTCTAGATTTATCCTCACACTGCTGGTCTCCGGACGGCATGTTTGCATCGACACCTCGCTCATGAAAACCACTTAGGAGGAGTTCCCCGTGAGTGTGCACAAAGAGCCTGGGTTAGATAGATGTGGAGTGACCCATGGACAGAAGTCACCTTTAAGGGAATGGCACTGAATCTGCCCTGGGTTTGCCCAGCGCAGGACAGTGGTGCCAGGCATTCACAGCTGTGACAGGGACAAACAGCAGGACCGTGGCCAGTGTTAGGAGAAATAACTGGTTCCCAAGGAGCTCCTGGGCTTGCAAAGTACTTGTTTGCTCCAGCAAGAATGATTCTTCAAAAACCCTTAATTTTAACCGGTGTAATTTCCTCACTGGCAGTAGCAAAAAGGCAGTAATAGTAATAAACCCTCAGCATTATTTTTCAAGTGTCTTTTTTAACAAGGGTTAATCAACAGTAAAATTAACAGGCCCCTGGAGGGAGCTACCAGCAGTCCATGCTGACTCACAGACTGAAATTTATTGCAGCAAGGAGCTCGTTTGCATTTCCTCCCGCATGCGGAAAGGAACACTAACAGAAGATGTTTGTAGGGAAAAGGGGTGGAGAGCAGGGAGGAACGCAGGCCAGTGGAGTTGGTTTGGTTATAAAGAGCTAGGGAGGAAAGAGAGGTAGCATTTCAGCCCGCATCTGGGTCTTCGGCGGACTCTGCGATGGCAGACAGAAAAGCTGAGTCACTGCATTCCTCCACAGGGCTCTTGGGCATTTCTGCAGGTAGGGATCGAGTCTTCTTGGCATGGGAAGATGGGGTTGGGACTAGCTTTCGTGGACAACCCCCTTCTCAAAGGGGGCTAAAGAGTCTGTTTATTCTGAATCTTCTCTGCCTGGGTAAAGCTGTTCGATCCAGAGATCCCCGTGCCTATTTCAGCAGCCAACAAAATATTTGTCTTGGCTTTAAAGTGCTGGCCTGAAATTTTGTACTCGATCCATCCTGGGTGGGAAGCAAATCAAAACTTTTTGGTAGTCATTTTCATAAACGATCTTTATTTGGATGCACTTTCCTCTCTTCTCCTTTTCTAGCAGTTTTCCTTGCAGCTCTGTTTTCCGTGTTCACTCCCTCTCATTTGCTCCTTCTTTGCGTTTCATCTCTCTGAGTGCTGCCCCTTGGCATTTTTAGGCTAGTTTTCTGTAGGCACACGGCTTACGTGATCATCTGTAGACTGTGCGTGCGTCTGCCTGCCTTTTGTGTAACTGGAATGGGAGAGCTGATTTTTACCTTTTTCTGACAACGGGGGAGCACTTTCAAACATGATTAAGTTCAAGTTTCTTAAAACTAGGCACCCAGAAAGAGGTGAGACCTTGGACACAAACCAAGTTACAACATACATCCCCAGCTCCTTAGATTTCATTATTTTCAGATCTTGTACCGCTTTTTTTTTCCTCTATTCCCTGCTCTTGCCACTCTGGTTCTCTCCTGGTTTTTTGGGCAAAGTTTACAAGCTCTTTCTTTTTTTCTCACCTCCCTGGTCACACACAGGATCACTCTTACTGGCAGTGCATTTCTACGGTTTACCCAGAGCAGCCCCTCTGATCCCCAGCACAGCTCTAGGAGTCCTTCTGCTGATTTTATCGTCTCTTTTGGCGTATGCAGGTAAGACTCGGAGCATGGCCAGCTTCAAGGCCTCCCCTTCTACAGCTTTGCATGTATTTGGTCTGCTTTGCCCACAGGTTTATACAAACCGTGGCAGCCTTGCCAGACCACTGATTCATTCTCCTAGAGGAGTATGACAGCACAGCAAATTTTTCCTATATAGGCAACCAAAGAAAATCAATGTTAGTTTTGAACAAATGCTTTACCAGGATCTCTGAGAGTTTTAACAGACTGAATACATGATTTCTCTAAAAACGGTTCCCAGGCTTTCTGAGAGTACTTTAGGCTTCTGTGGATTGAAATGGCATGGCGATGTGTAAATGCCAAGAGATCTACTTATCTGAGAGAAAAAATCACTGGCTATAACAAAGTCCACACTTTTTAGAATGAATGCTGAGTTATTTCTCCTTTTTAACTTGGAGCGATGAGGACATGCAAATCCAAGATTTGATGCTGGTAGTTTTTCCTCTACAAAGCAGACAGCTTGGGAGAGAGACTACGTATTTTAACCCATAAAACATAGGTCCACTTCTTCTCTCAGTCAGTGGTGGCACAAAGCATTAGTAGAAAGCACTTCGAAGCAGCTGTATTGATGGGACCATAGGGAATGGACCACTGGGCAGGTGATGTTTCACAGTTGGTGGGAATCAACAGCCTCCTACCAAAGGCAGGAATTTCTGTGCCCCCTTGTTCCAAGAGATACTTGGAACACATATCCAAGTATATAATCATATAATCACACATACTTGTGTGATTACGGTCCTCTGTAGCCTGGGGACTCATTCAGCAGAGCTCTTGCTTCCCTTCCCAACTTGAGCCTGTCTCACAAAGCTGTATCAGTTTGAAGAAGAAATGAAGCATAGGTCCATTACAAAGCTCCAGCTTGGAAGGAAGCTTTCAGGTCTATCCGTGCTGATCAGTATCCTCACATCATGAGGTAAGAAAGCATAGCAGTAAAAATAAGGTACCTCGTGATATTGTTTGGGGGTAGTAGTTGCATTCCATTCAACCTGAAGTATTTTAAATCAAGGTCTTTGTCGTTTTGGGGATCAGGATACCAAGCAGGATAGTTCTTGAGAAGAAATGAGTTTTGCAATTCCTGTGCTTCTGTCTTCTGAGAAGGTCCAATTATTTATGGGGACCCAGCAGGTTGTATGACACTTGTGGTTCAAACATTGGACCTGACGGCTTACAGCAGGAACAAAACAAACCAGCAGGCAACCCAAAAGAAAGAGGTGTCACGACTTGATTTGCATTAATATATTATGGTCTTGTTATTGAGTCTTGTAGGCGTCATGAAGAAGATAAGACAATGGCTTGCTGAACCTCGACTTCATTAGGGCAAACAGCGTACCAGGCCTGGTACAGTACTTAGTTGAAGGAACT